AACTTTTTAAATCGATGCAATTTTTTGGCACACACAACGTTATTTGGAAGATTGCTCCATGTTTCAATAGTTTTGTTTGGGAAACTGAACTTCCTACATCTTTCTCGCCTCTTTTTGCTTGCAGCTTTTGCTGTGTCCTCCCGCCCTTCTTTTGTTCAAAATTATAAAACCATCTTCGTCTAACTTCACCATTCTTGTAATATAGTTGAACATCATTATCATGTCACCTCTTTTTCTTCTTTCTTCGTACATCTTATCTCTTGGAGTAGGTGCCCATCTTGTGGCTGCTCTTTGAACTCTTTCTAGTTTATCTATATCCCTTTTTAAGTGTAGACTCCACACCACTGCACCATACTCAAGGCTAGGTCTTATGATGGCTGTAATGAGCTTCTTTACCATGTCCTCGTCCACATACACGAATGTCCTCTTCATGTTGGCAATCAGCCCTAGCATTCTATGAATCTTGTCTTTTATATGATCATTTGGACATAGGTTCCTGTTTATGATTATTCCAAGGTCTTTTTCTTTATCTGTTTGGTTTAATTATAGTGGTATTGTGGGTGATTTTTACTTTCTCCGAACCTGACTACATGGCATTTATTAGATTCCATTTTCGATGTTCAACTCCAAATGAATAAGTTCTCGATGTCACTTTGGAGGCATTGGCATGAGACATCGTCTATTATTATTATTTCTTTTTTTTTTTTGCAATTTCGCGTCGTCTGCAAACATATTCAGATAACTAACTGGGCTTATGTTTGACCCTAAATCATTTATGAAAAAGTAAACAGAATCGCCGCCAAAAACGAACCTTGAGGTACTTCGCTAGTTACTCGTTGCCATGTAGAAGCTTCCTTCTAATTACGGTTCTCATCTGTCTTTCATAAAAAAAAGGAGTTTGCCTTTCACTCCACCTAGGTGTTCTAATTTCCATAACAGGCTTCTATGGACTCCTTATCAAATGTCTTAAAGTATACACAATCCATTTTTTTCGAGTGTGATATTTTTGATATTCTGATTTACGTTTGTACGGTTACTTGCCATTTCAAAGTATGGGTCCTGAACAAACACTGACTGAAATTTCCTACTAAGGATTTCACACATTTACTCCTCCTTAGTATAAACGATGTTATTGTATTTGATGGTGCTAATTTGATTTCTACATTTAGTCTTTCTATTTATGTAGTTAAATAAGAGCCTTGGTTGGTTTGTACATTTATTGATTTCCCTCATGGTTTGAGTATACTTATTTCTTCCTACTTTATACCCTTTATACGCTGCCTGAGATCTATGTCTGCTGAACCTTCTCCAGAGCAGCTGTTTGTTTTCTCTCATTTTCTAGCATTTATCATTGAACAACTTCTGGCCATTTCTTACTTCAGTTTCGAATCTTGATACAGTTTTTTCTATTGCATATCAAGGTTCTCTTCGTTCAGGAGGGTTTTGCAGTTTATGCCATCAAAGAAATCTTTAAGGCTTCTATAATTACCTTTCTTGTAATTGTACTTTCCTTTTCTTTCATTACTTACGATGAGTTTTTCCTGTAATAGTATTTTAACTTAATTGCTACATGATCACTTTTTCCATATCCTTAATGTCATCTTTATGCTTTGTAAATATTAGGTCAAGCATAGGCGGTCTATAATGCCCTCTTATCCTGGTATGATGTTGCATTCTGGAAGAGAATTCATTTATGACTACTAGTAATTTTGCATTCCACGAATCTGGCTGAGCTCTGGGATCGAAACTTTCCCAGTCAATTTTGCTAAAAAAAAAAAACCCTGTTACAAGAATTTCTTTTGCATTAGTTTCCGAAAGTTGTAGCACTTTTCCCAGGCTCTTTAACGCATCTTGAATAAGTTTTTGGTCATTTTCTTGTGACAACGCCGATGTATGAGGTGACATGTACTCCGTTTGTTTCTACCTCAAAGGCCTTTAGTTCTGCTATGGGGTCTTACAGAATCTCTATTTCCTTTATAATAATTAATTTCCTTGTTAATATTGGTACCCCCCTCCATTTCCATTTGTCCTTTCTGAGTCCTAATATTACATCGTCTACGGATGGATCAAGTTTGGATTCAGTTATTACTTTCAATAATTGTAACTAGGTCTAGTAACTTCGAACATAAACCATCTATATTTGTATAAACCTTTTTCTATATTTTTTTTTCGGTATTCCCTTTGGCTTCAAGGCTAAAGATTGTCTGTTCTCCACATTTTGGTTCCGATAGTAAACTTGTTTTGCTTGGAGGCTTCTCCAAGTGTTTTTCTTCTTCAGGCCTTTGTTCGTTTTTATTTTTTACCTCTTCCATTTTTTTATGCAGTATTTCTCTGTCATCTTTGGTCATATTTTCTCTTATCCAGATTTTCTAATATTCTTCGTGTGTGGCCAGGACTTTAGCTTTCTTTATTACATCAGTTACCATTTGCTTATTCACGAATGTCACCTTTAAAGGGCGTTTCTTTCCCTTTTCAAATAATCCCTACCTTCTATGATATT